AAAAAAGGGGGAGAAAAAAAAAACAAAAGTGCTTTCGTTTGTTCTAAGTTTCAGTTTTAGTATCCAAAGGCTCGTGTAAGCCACGGCACACATTTTTATCAGTTGTTCGTTGCGGGGCTAAATATTTACTTATCATTAAACGAATGAACCTTAATTCAGGAGACTAAGCACCTTATGTTCGCTGCGTTCACTCACACTCTAATGAATGTATGCAAATCCATCATAAATCTGAAGATTAGCAGAATCATTTTGTGGTGCTCGGGAGGAAAAGGAAAAAAAAAAAAATAAAAGCACAAAAAGAGAGCGCTGACGGCACGTTTACCGAGTCCGCCGCAGATATCCTACCAGCTCCCGGCCTGTTCTTTTTTCTAAACTGAAACAAAGAGGCGGAAAGATGAAGGAGGGTGAATTGTTTTATCTGACAGGCCAAGGTCAAGGCTGGAGAACGATTATGCTGGAGCTTCCCCAGCTAAAGGGGTCACCATGTCAAAGTTCACAGCGCTTCGGATGAAGTATCATAAAAAATGCAGCGGGGTACAGAAAAGGAAGGGACGTGGGCGTGTGAGAGGAGCGGGATGGCGGAGCTATTTTGGAAAAATTGTTGAGCTGTTTATTTGCAAGTCATTGGAGCTGAAGTAATACACCCTGGGAATTGCCACCGAACACAGCGCTGCAACATCTGCTGTCCCTAAGTGAGTTAGTGCACGTCAGACATCTTTATGTCACCGCAGAGCCGTGATGGATGCAGCCCTCTCGGAAAGCGTTGCGTAAAAATCTGCTCTGCCGTTTTGGCCGTTAAGTGAAATTACTATTTAAATTAATGGCGCTGTCACAGTTTATCTGTGCAAAGAATGAACGCTGATTAGGGTATTAAACAATTAGCAATTTATCATACTGGAGGTTGATGGTAATTATGGTAGCAATGGTTTACCCGAGTAAATAAACTGTGAGTCTCTTCCAGTTAGAGGGACATCAGAACTGGATGTTGGCTCGAGTCGCCTTTTTGCGCTGATCTGTAACCAGTTTGCCTGTTATGCTTATGGATGTGCAGGTGTTGGTGGTTTAAGATCGATGGAAAGGCTTATTCTGGTGCTCTAATGCTGTGGTGTGATTACAAGGAATGGAAGACAAGATGTTGATTTAGTGGTGCATTAAATAGAGACTAACTTCATTAGTTAAAGCATTTCACTCCGAGTTTTTGAGTGGACCAAAGAAATGGACTTTGTTATTTAAGAGAAATCAGATTTTAAATGTAGAGATTCATAAACAAATTCGTTCAGAGTGGTTTGATGTGAAGCGGTTCATTTTGGAGGAACACAGATGTCTTTACAGTGGTGGTGAAAAGAACCAGAACTCAACATCTACAACACAAATATAGACATTTTATTCACTATTCCTACTGTTCCATGAGCCTGCATGTGTTTTATATGTAATACTGGCAAAATAGCAGTAAATATAAAAACAATTGTTTTTTCATTTGGGACTGTTTTACATTGTTACACCCTGCTTGTTCCTGTCTGTCATGAATTGATCAGAAAAATACATTTAAGGCCAAAACCTTAATTCTAAACTATCACAGAACGAGGCCTCAGGCATCAGGCCGCGTATTCATAACCACTTCATATTAACTTTCTGTGAGGGAGCTTTTAGAGGCACTGGAAGGCCCAGAGCATGGAAAAGTGAAAGAGTTTGAAGTGATAAATAAATATTGTTAAAGTTTCAGGATGTACTGTTATCTAGCCAGTCCATGGATAAGCTGCAAACACAGCCTGTTTCTGTGATGTCACCAGAACCAGCTCATTTGCACATATCCACCTATTTGGCCCACAGCGGTTTAGCCCCGCCCATTCATAACGAAATAATGAGAAGTGCTTCTGCGCTGAGCGCTTGTTCCATAGTTTTTTGTACAATACGAGGCAGTCAGAACAGAGCTCATTCGTCTTATATCAGTATTTTAAGGCACTGTAACAAAAACGGGAAGGCTGGAAAAGATTTGTCTTCTCCTGTCACTAATTATCCCTCTTGAGAATCCAGGTTTTCATTATAACAGCGACACTGTGTTAGTAAAATCACATTTTCAGTAAAATAAATTATTTATTTATTTTAAGTTTGCATTGTCATGTTTGATTCCATCAGGCTGGGTTTAGCATCTTTAAGACTTTCATGTTACACTGTAATTAACATTTGAGTCAAAAAACAGTTCAGTAACAACAGAAAAGTCTCGTCTGGCCACACCAACAGTTCACTTAACCCTCTATTACTTGCACGTGATAAAAATGTTTTAATGTGTTTTTGTTAATATTTGAAAAAAAATATTTATTTTTTTAAAGTAGGGGAATTTGGTAAAAGTCGTACCATAGCACCATAAAATCTAAAAAAAAAAGCACCATAAAACGTAATTTTGCTCTAAAAACATAATTTTATTAAAAACAAGACCAACTTCTGCTTAGTGGAATGTACTACCCAATATTTACAAATACTGAAAATTAATACAATTTCATTTGGTATTTGGAATGTATGATAAAAACAACATCATAATAAGAATTCCGGGTCAGTATTTGTCCTTTCAAAGTAAAAGACCTTTTTTCACAATTAAATGGGAAAACACAGATTTTATATGACTGCTTTTTAGTAAAATTGAGATAAAGTAACTGTTGCCATATGGCAACACTGCAATAGAGGGTTAAGTACATCAGACCTGTGAGGTTGCAGTGGTGAACACTGTGTGCATCTCTTGTGTTTCGTGCAACAGGAAAAGCACAACAGCACGTGCTGACTGAGTCGGGTACTGCTCTGAAAGTACCAGTGCTTTTAAAGGTAACGGGAGAAGATGCAGGTTGATGGGTGTGAGAAAGTGACGGCTGATGGGAAGAGACAGGCAGAGCGTTTTTGATTTCCCTCAGCTGACCACATCCTTTTCATGTCTCCTTTCCTCATGCCGCACCGCACACTCCAGCTGACCAGGCTGATCAGAAACGTAGCGCCTCAGAGCTGTCGACAGTTGAGCCCGTTTCATAGCGCGGCGAGACAGAAGCATGTTTGAATGCTTGTGCGTGATTTTGTCTCTGTGTGTGTTAGAAACTGAGAGCTGGGCTGTCAGTATCAGTTGTGTTGGTAATATACTGACTATTTCAACGATTAATCAAGCAATCAGAGTTTTAAGGCCAAACAATGCAGAGACACTTGAAGGGGAAGTTGACCATTTTTTAAAATTTCTTCATAATTTAAATGGTTATGATGTAAAAAAGTCATACAGTGTGGTCTGATGTGAAACGCTCTGTTCTGGAAAACCGTACCAAGTCAGAATTGTTTACAGTGGTGGTGATAGGAACCAGACGTCTATTACATGAAATAGTTATGCATATGTTCATCACAGAGGGATTCATGCAGGGTGTTGTTCAGATACACCATTTTACAATGATTTAAATGTAATTAGAAAGGTTAATTTTGGTCATTTTGAATAGCGAATAAAACGGCTATGTTTGTGTTGGAGACGTCACGACCCCTGGTTTCCATCAGCACCACTGTAAAGAAATTCAAGTCAGTAAATTTCTCTTCAGTGCACCGTTTCTCATTAGACCACAAATGTGTATCACCACCATGCAAATGCCGACTAATCATCGCTCAAGAAGATCTATTTTGATCAAAGAAAATCAAGTAATCAAGCCCTAATTTAAAGTGACAGCATCTCCAGCACTTTGTTGATAAAGATGGCAGATCCTACTCAGAATATAGTCAGAATGACTGAACCTAAACTCACATACAAATATGTGACCCTTAAACAGCCATTTGAAAAGCAGCTTGAGTAACCAGTTTGGTCTTATATTTAGTGGGTTAAGTAAGTGCGTGGGGTGCATTAATATTTTTTTTTTAATTTTTACATTTCTCTATGTACATGGTATGTTTTTGATATACATTTGATTTATTTATATATTTATTTATTTTATTTTATTCTTAACCAAATTTCTCTCCACTTTATTCATGACCAATTCCTCACTGGGTAGGCCCTTGCAGCTCACAGTGCTACCAAGCTGCTAGGGAGAAGGTTAGCATGGGCTTCATCTGAAACATATGAAGACAACATGCTAAGTCAGCTCAGTGTGCTTGGAGGAGAGTGCTAACTGCCAGATACCCATGTTGGCTAGCATTGCAGAGTGATTGAGAAAGAGAGTGGACCATCCTACTGTTGCTACCAAAGCTCTCTCTTTTTGCCCAGGGTCTGGACATTTCTAAGTAACTCTAATATTGTCGATACTATTGCGCTAATTACTGTCTGTGATTTAATGTCATCAAAAAGTATTAAAAGAATCAAAGAATATCAACAAAAATGAAAAAGGGTAAAAAGGAATGAAAGAGACTTCAGCCGCTGAGTTTATGTGGAAGAAAGGAAAAGGCCTTCGCTTAATTGAGCATCAAATGGCAACCACAATGGGAATATCATCTCAAAGCATCCTTTTTATCCCCCTGTGGGGCAATGAGGTAATCTCCCCACCCCATTTACACAATTCCGTACCGTTTTAGTCCCCATCATGTTGAACACCTTTTTTGGTAACCTTTAAAACCCACTCTGGTCTGACTCTTACCAGACTGTTCCCTCCTTACAGGGCCCTCTTGTGCAGCTCTCCATAGGGCCATCTTACACAACCCTCTATATACGTAGAAGAGTGACCCTCAGCTATAACTTAACATCTGGTCCAGCTCCCTTCTGTGGGCCCAGAAGCTCTTCCCCCGTTAGAGAGTCTGCTGCATTCAGTCCATAGTCTGCTTCCCTGTATTACCTTTTTAGGAGGGCTCCAAACTCTCTGGTCAGCCAATATTGTATTCAGTCTTTTCCATCACCACCCACCCAGAAACAGTGAGGTTAATTATGATCTCTTGGACTTCTGGCCACGGGTGGCTGTGGCTTTGCTGGGGATCGACCTCGCGATCTCCCTCAAAGGGTTTTGCCGTCTTTCTGAGCATTATGAAAGACATTGCTGTTATGTGTGTGCATTGCGTAGGGATGGCCTGCTGTGGAGAGCAGTACATCAACACGTCCACCTCTGTATGCTGTCATGGTCCAGAGCTGCAGCCCAAGGTGCATGTGCTCGAGAACAGGACAGCGTCACAGAAGTGCTGCTGGACGGAGCTGATTCAGCAGGATGAAGAGTGCTGTAATGGAGTGGGCTTCAACCCACACGAGACCGTGTGTGCCGACACGGCCCCGCACGGCGCTCTCATTCAGGTAAAGCACGTCCTTACTCACCCACAGAGCCGCTTACACCACCGATAACCAACTCTGGCACTGGAGGCCCACAGTTCGGCACAGTTTACCGGTTACAAAACTCCTCACTCCACTCAAGAGGAGCTCAGTATGATTATCTAAGGTGCAAAACTGTGGCTCTCCAGCCGCACTGGCATGATAATATTCAGTTATATGCAAAATATGGGGGCTTCTAGTCAAATTGCATGTTTTGTTGATTGAAAATAAGTTAATACTTTCTCTACAGAGACGCACTTCTGCACACTTTAGTGCACAAATACTGTTTATTTGGAATATTTAATATATTGAGACATGAAATGTGGTCTGTGCAAAGGTTACACATTTTATATTTTATAATCTATTTTTTCCAAGATACAAATGAATAGAAACTGAAACATTTGCAGCAAAATGTCACATTTAAGTTCCCTGTAGAGGACGTGTTAACTTAGTTTCACGTAAAAAATCAACGAAACGTCGTCACCAGAGAATTTTTGCATACATCTGTATGTTACAAATGCTGTGATGAGTAATGGTGAATGAAAGCTATAGTTTGACATATACACTGACTGGCCACTTCATTAGGTCCACCTTGTGTCTGCACTTTTTGTCCATTTTATCAGCTCCACTTACTATATAGGTGCACTCTGTAGTTCTACAGTTACAGACTGTAGTCCATCTGTTTCTCTGATACTTTGTTAGCCCCCTTTTACCCTGTTCTTCAGTGGTCAGGACCCCCATGGAGCCTCACAGAGCAGGTACTATTTGGGTGGTGGATCATTCTCAGCACTGCAGTAACACTGACGTGGTGGTGGTGTGTTAGTGTGTGTTGTGCTGGTCTGAGTGGATCAGACACAGCAGTGCTGCTGGAGTTTTTAAACACCTCAGTGTCGCTGCTGGGCTGAGAATAGTCCACCAACCAAAAATATCCAGCCAGCAGCGTCCTGTGGCCAGCATCCTGTGACCACTGATGAAGGACTAGAGGATGACCAACACAAACTGTGCAGCAGCAGATGAGCTATCGTCTCTGACTTTACATCTACAAGGTGGACCGACAGGGTAGGAGTGTCTAATAGAGTGGACAGTGAGTGGACACATTGTTTAAAAACTCCAGCAGCACTGCTGTGTCTGATCCACTCGTACCAGCACAACACACACTAACACACCACCACCACGTCAGTGTCACTGCAGTGCTGAGAATGATCCACCACCCAAATAGTACCTGCTCTGTCCTGTGGGCGTCCTGAGTTTATTTGAGATTACTCAAAAACTTGATTTTTGATGCGTGTCCTGATTTAGAAATGTAGTTTAAATAATGTTAATTGCTGAGTTTTATCTTTCTTTACTGGATACATTAGTTTTGCAGCTCCATTACAGACTAAAGAAGCAAACGTCAGAAACCAAACCTGTCCTGACTGGTCAGCTACATTAGGGATTAACCGAAAATTATAATAATAATATTCTTAATTTGCTTGTTACCAAGTTAGCTCCTAAAAGCTGGGCAGTGCTGTACAGACAGTTAGTGAGCTAACTGTGACCCCAGTAGCCTTCCTTTGTTGTTAGCCACATTAGCATCCCTGGGTTGAAGTGTTCCTTTAAGTTGCCACACAGTGAAGCAGAGGTGAGAAATATGAGACGGAGAGGCGTGATGTATGTGCTCATCTCGTCAGGAAGCGGGAGCTCGCACTCACACTTCATTAATCAGATTTGCTCTCTGTAACACGGGCGCATACTGCACCCAGCTTGAGCTCGCCAGCCAAAGAGAGAGTGTGAAGAAAAGCAAACCGGGGTGGCGGTCATTAACTTGTAATTATGTCATTAAGGGGCATCCGCGCTATTCATTGAGGCATAGGGCTTTGCGCACACCCGCAGGCTGGGGTAGTTTGACACCCAACAGTTATCTGATGACTGTTGTCACTAATGAGCATGTGTGTGTGTGTGTGTGTGTGTGTGTGTGTGTGTGTGTGTGTGTTTATGCATGTGTGTGCGTCCTTTAGGAAAAGTGCCGTCCCAGCGTCCTTTGTCCTGCATCTTCCGCCTCGGGGGCGTACTGCGGCTCGTGTGATTTTAACCCCGCTCAGTTCATCTGTGCCTGGGTGCCGGGCGAGCCAGACGCCCCATCAGCCACTCGCATTCCCAGTAGCTCTCCTCAAGCACCTCCAGCACCCTCAGCCACAGCCCACGGCCAGCTCTGCCCAACCCCTGAGGAGCTTGTCTATAGCGGAATGGCTAACAGATACATTTTTACAGGTATTCAAGCTAAAGTCTCCCAAACGATGGTGATGTTGGTGGTGGTATTTTGATACGCTGGGAGTTGCTGGTGACATTTTAAAGGAGTACAAACTGCATTTGTTGTTGTCGGAAGAAAACCTCGTATCTCCAAAACGGTAACTTTACAGGAAAAGGAAAAAACCTACTTTCCTTTCATGCAAGTCAATGGAACCAGACTTTTTTCTAAGTAATGTTGGGCCGTTTCTTTTGGTCCATTCATGAAATTTACACACAATGTAAAGAACAACAGACATTTTCAAATTATGTCAAAAATTAAAAAACGACAGAAATGGAAATACGAGGTTTTCTTCCAACAGCAGCGATATGCCCCCCTTACAGGACATACTGCCTCATCGTGCACTCTCCACTCACTCTGTATATATGTATATTATATTTATACTTGCATATCTATATTTATTTACTACTATATACCGTCCTTCTGCGCTTTATATGTAAATAATACTGTATTTTGCACTTCTGGTTAGATGCTAACTGAATTTCGTTGGCTCTGTGCCTGTAACTCTGCACAGTGTCATTAAAGCTGAATCTAATCTAATCTAATCTAAACTATGGCTGGGCAATAGGGTGATGTAATTGGGTACCAGCGGTGATAACCCAGTGCTGATTCTGGATTATCAATAATCGCTCATGTTGGGAAAGAGAATTGATTAACCAGATTGGTCTAATTTACTTTGAATCAACTTTCCAAATAATATCAAATAATAGACTCAGACTATACACAGCAAAGATAACAGCTGCAACAGCAGTGGTGGGGTAGACTGCTACAGTTCTGCTGAAGTCATCATTGTTATTATTATTTTTTTTTTCACATAAAAGTATATTTTTTTTAGATTACGCTCGCCACTGTTATAAATTAGCATACAGTACTGTGCAAAAGAGACCAACCTTCATGTATTTATTTTCCAATCAAAATGGCCAGTAAATACAAGTTATTTATTATTTTTCAGCGTCTGGAAAAGAGCAAGAATTTTATAAGACAATTACACAGCAGACTTGACAACTAACTATAATTTATATATTTTTTCAGTATTTGTTACGTCTACTCTTTATTATAGCTCTTCTTTTCAGGAGACTTGCTTTCAGTTTGTCAAAGAACCTTGTGTGGATGTTTTTGCACAGCACCAAAGTTTATATATAAGTTTACATGTTGTAACTCAGTATTAATTATTTCTCATTTGCAACTCATTGAAACAAGTGGAAGTTCTGTGGAAAGCACAGACTCTAAACTTTGAATTGACATTATATTAGGATGTACAGCTCTGCACAAAAGTCAGAAATCACCCTTTATTTATTTAAGTTCTAGTCAAAACAGCCGTTATTTACAAGTTATTCATTTTTCAGTGTCAACAGTGTTTAATTTCAGCTTCCATTCTTTTTCAGAGACTTGTGTTCAGTTTTTCACAGAAATCAGAGATATTTTCCCACAGCTCTGAAGTTCGGTCTTAATAGTTGGTTGCAGTTTGTGCTTCTATGATTCAAATAATCCCAAACACATTCAATGATGTTGAGGTCTGGACTCTGGGGTGGTCAGTCCATTGTTCTGAGAACAACAGCAGCTTCTTTGTTCGCAAATTTCCTTCCTTTTCTCAGTAACGGCTTCTTGACAGCTACACGTTTCTTCAGACCTATAGCTGAGTTCTCTTTTCACAGTGACTTTAATTCGAAGCGAGAGTGGAGCTTGATTTTCTCCTGTCTCTCTAAGATTAAAGCTTTCTTTGCTATTTATTGTAAAAGATTCCATCATTTTCTGAACTCCAGTTTTGGAATCTCCTGGTTTTTAACTGATTTTCCTTAGACGTTTGCCATCTAACCTCAGAAAGATCACCTGAAAATGAATAACTTGTACTTAATGGCCTTTTTGGCTGGAAATTAAATTAATAAAAGGTGGTCTCTGACTTGCAGAGTGTAATATTGTCATCCGTCTGAACCTGACTCTTTCTTTAGAGGAGTCTCTACTGTGTTTTCTGCAGCACTAGTTCCCAGCCCTGGTTAATGGAGAACCCCACCCTGCATATTTTACACCTGATTTAACCAGTCAGCTAATTAAAGGGGAATTACACTAATTTTTTAAAAATTCTGCATAACTCAAGCCTTGAGGTGTAAATAAAACGATTCAGACTGGTTTATTATAAAATTGTTCTTTGTAGAAAAAAAGACTGATTTCTTTACAAACTCAAAACTATTTTAAAACTATGTTTTAGGCATCAGGCGTTTCAGTTCATAACCGTTTTGTGTAACAACTTTCTGTAATATAGCTTTTAGAATCATTAAACCCGGACGTTTGGTTCCTGTCGTCACCGTTGTGAACAATCCTGGTCCAGTTCACATCAAACCACTCTGAATGACTTTGTCTACATCTTAACAATTTAATTATGCAGTAATTTTAAAATCCTTTTTAACGAGCTCTTTCTGTACTGCAGGACCAAAGTCAGCAGTCATTGGTCTAGACTCTAGAGCATCGGCTTCAGCCTGTATTCGTCTGGCCGAGGGGGGGAGCGTGCGTGTGCCTCTTTCAGCACGTTATTTATTTGGTTAGTTGCGTCTGTTTAATCAAGACTAATGCGGGAGTTGAGGGGGGCTGGCTGGCGTGAGGAGAGTGATTCTAGTCAGTGCTGTGCTGCCATCTGGGCACGGGCGTCTAAAGCTGTCGCGGCCCCACGCTCCTCCAGATGTTTCCCGCGCCCCCATACCCGCACCCCGCCGACGAGTGACACTGAGAGCGCTCAGAGAAACGCAGTGCAGAGATCAGCTCCCCAGACCCAGCAATATGGCCGTCCAGTTCTGTTAGTGATTGTGTCTGAGTCGCAGACTCAACTTCTTTGTGCTTCGTGAAATCTGTTTAATCACTTCTGCCAAAATAGACGCCACTCATTTTTTAAACAAGCATGGAGTCTGTAACATATGTCCTGTAGACCGTTAGCCAAGTAAAAATGAGTTTTTAATACCGCAACATAAGCTCTGGATTCTGATGACTCCTCTAAGGCAGACAATGCGTACCACATTCTCAGAGTTGGTTTAGGACAGCAGTGCTGCTGTTTTCAGTATCTCATACAGCTTTAAAGGGGCTGTCAAATCACTCTGTAGCCCTGTTTATGCATTTAGCTATAGACCCCTAGATGAACGTGTTATTGTCCACCAGATGAAGAACAGTGTTAGTCATTTTGATTGAGACTTTTTTGCCCATTTGTGTTTCCTCGTTTGGATTTGAGTTGTGTGGGATTGTATTAGAAGGTGCTGACGTCCCTTGAGCCAATCAGGTTTTTTGTCAGCAGCTGCTTTCAGTTAGTGTTGGGCGATATTCATGTTTAATACCTTTAAATCGGGGGTATCCGAACTTTTTTCCAAAGAGGGCCAGATTGTACCGTGTCAAAATTCCTCCGGGCTGAACTATTATTCACAAATGATTCAAAATATTAATTTTTTTAAAAATCAGAGCAAAGAATCTGGGCTGTCTGTGAGCTGCTATGTTTCCTATCTCTGTGTAAAAGATGCACAAGCCTCTTTTTATTCTTGGATTATTCATTCAGAACAGTGTGGCTCGACAGTCACTTACACTACAAATCATTAAACTGTAAAAGAGTAACAGTAAACATGTCTAATGTATTAAATATATTTCTATTTAAGTGTTTACTTGTTGCAAAAATATCATTTGTGAGACAAACTAAATAAAAATCTATACATTTTTGGTTTTGTTAGATAATGTTCTTTACATATCAAATAAGCACAGCGACCACATGCAGAAATTACTTTACTAAACGAGACAAGCAGATCAAACAACATAAATAGCCATTATTGATCCGCCTTAAGGGGTTAATATTTACTTATTAAGTTTGATAAGAGGTTTTCCATCTCGCCAAAATCTCCGGTTCTCAGTGTTAGTTTGAGCTTTGTGGCTGCAGTCTGGACTAAACGTGGTCAGTAAATGAAGCTGCAGGTCAGTCAGAGAAGAAAGGCTCTTAAACTTTAGCTGAATTTGTTACTGCAGTGCAGCGTTACACTGTAATCTTACAGCACTGCCATCAGGTGAAAGGAAGAACTGCAGTGTACTGGCTGATGGGCCAGTTATAACACACTCTAAAACAGAAGAGACGGGAGGACACAGTGTCCATGATTCCAAAAAGGATTTCAAATTTTGATTTGTCGTACCACAGGACACTTTTCCACTTCCCCTCAGTCCATTTTAAATGAGCTCCGGCCCAGAGAAGGTGGCAGCATTTCTGGATTCTGTTTATATTTGGTTTCTTCTTTGCGTTTTAGAGTTTTAACTTGCATTTGTGGATGCAGCGACGAACTGTTTTCACAGACAGTGGTTTTCAGAAGTGTTTCTGAGCCCATGCAGTGATTTCCTCTACAGAATCATGTCTGTTTTTAATGCAGTGCTGTCTGAGGGCCCAAATATCACGGCCAGTAAATACTGGTTTTTGTCCTTGACCCTTACATACAGAGATTTCTCCAGATTCTCTGAATCTTTTAATGAAATCTCTAAGTTCTTTGCTATTTAACATTGAGGAATGTTATTCTTGAATTGTTGCACTATTTGATTGTGCAGTCTTTCACAGAGTGGTGAACCCTCCTCATCTTTACTTCTGAAAGACCTCATGTTACCGACCTGTTGCCAATCAACCACCAAGTGTTTTCTTTTTAGCATTATACAACCTTACCAGCCTTTTGTTGCTACTGTCCCAACTTTTTGGGAACGCGTTGTTGGCATCAAATTCAAAATAGGCATATATTTTTCAAAATCAATAAATTTTTCTTAGTTTCAACATTTGATTTGTTGTCTTTGTACTATTTTCAATTAAATTTGCATTATTTAAACATCATTGCCTTTTGTTTTTATTTACATTTTGCAGTGTCCCAACTTTTTTGGAAATGGGGTTGTATTTGCAATTGAGTTGCCAGCTCCTTTAATGTGACCAATGTATTAGTTTCAAAAGAACTGCAGCCAAACACTCTTCTCTGCTCTGACGTAAGCAGCCTGCCTAACTCCAGCAATGCTAGATCCCACAAAACCCATCTCAGTGATTTACACCCACGACTCCCCATCCGCACACACAGACACACATTTACAACAAACTGCTGTTGCACCGATAAAGAAAAGCATGGCAGTAAACAGGGAGGTCCCTGGCCACTCTTGAAAGCAAAGCCTTGTTTTAGTGTGGATGCTTCCTCACCCTTCTGTGGCGTCATAAAGGGCCTGTATCACATACGGTCTAATCCAGCTCTAGAATAGATTATTGGCGTGTGTGCACATGTTCTGTTTTATGTATATGATGTCCTCTGTTATGTGTGTGTGTGAACATTACTGCTGTTGTGTTACAGATACAGAGTTGGAGCCCTACACCCGCTATGAGTACAGGGTTGGGGCGTGGAACAGACACGGCCGTGCCTTTAGCCCCGCCTCTCGCATCACCACAAAAGAGGACGTGCCTAAAGGAGTCCCACCCCTACGCTGGAGCCGTGTGGGCGTCCGTGATGACATCATCCAACTCAACTGGTCCCCACCATTCAGGTCCAATGGTAATAGTCACTTTCCCTTAATATATAATAGTAATAAATGGTTATAAGGTGATAGTTTGTCAACACAAATACTTACACAATCAGCCAAGAGTCTTCACATTTAATTTTATGGCTAAGTTAGGTAAGAAATAATGGAAGCTTAAACCCATTTAGCATTATCCACACTGCGCGCCTGAATTATTGCACACCTCAAAATTGAGAGTTATATACTTAAATACTATCAGTTGATGTAGTATGCAAATATTGGTAAGTTTCAAAACATACTATACGCTCACCAGTCCATGCAATCTGTACACAGTTTTGGCACCCCTGGTTAAATTTTAAATATATATATATATATATATATATATATATATATACACACACACACATACACACACATATGGTCTGTACAAAAGACAAAAGTTATGGCACATTTTATATTTTATGCTTTATTTTTTTTTTCAATATTTTAAACTTAGCAAATAAAGAGAAATTGTGCAATAACATTTTCAGAAAAATGCCTTATTTAAGTTAAAGCTGTAAAAACAACTTAGTTTGTGATGTCACAAAAAACAAAACCTGCCGCAGTTTAGCTCCGCCCATTCATTTAAATGTTAGAAGAAGTGTTTCAGCCCGGACTGCTTTTTGAATGAGGCACAACATGGGGGAACCAATCAGAACCGAGCTTAGTTAGATGTATCAGTCTTAAACCCACAGTAGCAAAAACAGCCCATTTAATTCTAAGGGATAAATAAGTTGGAAAGTGGTCATGTAAAAAAGAATTATGAATTATTGTACTTTTGTGCATATGCATGTTTTGTACTAAACCCATGCAGTGGATGCGGCGCTTTTAAACAGTAGCAGCACCTCTTTGAAGACCCAAATGTGTCTGTAATTTTGTGTGGCATCATGCAGACTGCATGGCTTGCTGGGTTAGCCTTGTAGCTCCATAATATCGTGTCACATGGTTGTTTAGTAAAAGGCTGTGTTAAGTAAATAGTTAAAGCAAAGAATAACAAAGAATTCCCGAAAAAGCACCACAATTAATAAGGGATTAGAAATATGTTTAATATGTTTCCAGTCAAAACAGTCATTAAGTATCAAGCTGTCGTCTTTCAGGAGCTATATTGAGGAGATTATATCTAACATAACCCACTCGCATGAGGAAGGGGGAAAGGACAACAAATCAAGCTCCACTCTTGCTTTAGACTAAAAAAATCCACAGGTGTTTCTGTCAATTCGTCTACTTTGAGAAGACAGCTTGGTGCTGTGGGTCTGAAAGAATGTGTCGCTGACAAGAATCTGTTCCTGAAAAAAGGGAGAAAATTTGCAAATCAAACAACGAAGCTGCTGGTGTTCTCGGAACAAAGGACTGACCAGCCCAGAACCCAGACCTCAACATCAGTGAATGTGGGATCACTTGAATCATGAAAATACAACTGACTCAACCAGCTTCTGAGACTGAACTTGGAAAAATATCCCTGCAATATTACTCTGAAAAACTGAACGCAAGTGTCCTGAGAAGAATGGAAGCTGTAATGAAGGCTAAACACTGAAAAATATATATTTAGTTTTCATTCTGTTTAATATGTTTTCTGGTTGGTTTCTAATGCTGGAAATGGAATCATTTGTACTTAATGGCTGTTTTGACTGTAAATTAAACAAATGAAATGTGGTCTCTGACTTTTGCACAGTGTAAACATGCTGCCAGTTGTAGCCAGGCCATTGTTGTTATGCTCGAAAGTCGTCGTTGTTGCTGTACTAGAAACTGCCTGCAAGTTAGTTACACGGAATTCCTGATTAGGCCTTTAATCACGAAGGAAGTCAGTTTGGCTAATCTGCTTGCGTCGTGACTCTGTACATTTAGCCTCATTTCTACAATAAACTAGAATCAACCCTTTTTTGCCTCTGATAATAACACAGTGGCTGGGGCGAAGTGTATCAGACTGATTGGTGCAGCGGCGCGCCACTGAAGACGCCGCGGTTACTGTTGTTAATCTGCATTGCGTGGCGGAATAATTTATGAATACCCGAATTCACATGCGCATAAACACGGCGCTAAGTAGAAATAACAAGCTCCGTTTGAGGGAACTTCTGGACCACTTAATATGTAAAGAAACATGTTGATTGCTCATTAGGACTCCATTCTGCTCTTTAATCAGACGCCTCACACCCAATCTGCTGTGATTTCAGTGGAACTTAGTCGTCCGCCTCCTCACACTGACTAAGAAGCGAGAAAGAAACACAGGGAGAGAGAAAGAGAACGATGGGATGACAGGAAATTGAGCCCTATCTTCCTTCTTTCCTTCCTCGTTCTGTCTAACGTGTGTATTTGTGTCATTCTAGGTGAGATCAGCCACTACATAATCCTGCGGGACGGACAGGAGCGTTATCGTGGAAATGAGCAGAGCTTTACTGATGCTGGAGGAATCCGGCCTTTCCAAGAGTATACATACCAACTGAGGGCGTGCACTTCGGCCGGCTGCACAGACTCCGCCAAAGTGAGTGTGTCTAACGTACTGCTGTACATGAATTAAAGGGGAATTACACCATTTTTTCAAAACCTATACATAATTAAGTTGTTGATATGTAAACAAAGTCATTCAGAGTGGTTTGATGTGAAATGATTCATTGTAGAAAAAAATCTTTGGCTCAGATTGCTTTACAGTGGTGTTGATAGGAACCAGAGGTCACAGTGTCTACAAATATAGCAATTTTGTTTACTATTCAAAACACTCAGAACTTTGAGTTTTTATATGTTGATGATGGTAAAATAGAGGTAAATCTGAAAAATAAGTTTTCTTTGGGGACTGTTTTGCCTCTCGACACCCTGCACATACATATCTGCCCTGAATAGGTTGTAGAAAATAGATTTTAGGTCAAAACCTTCCCTCAGAAATATCATAAAAATATATTGGCCATCAGGCAGTGTATTCATAACCATTTCATGCAGTAACCTTCTGCAAGGGAGCTGTGAGAGGCTTTAAATGCTTTGGACGTCTGGTTCCCATCACCACCAATGTGGACAGTTCTCACTCTGTAAGTTTCTCTAGAGTAGAGCATTTCACATCAGACCACTCTGAGTGACTTTGGTACATCTTAAAGATTTTATTATGCAGAATTTATAGCATAATATTATGCAGAAAAATTACTTTCAAATTGTAGAATGTTCATATTGAAACTAGTGATGTCAGACTGCTGTGTCTGATCCACTCGCACCAGCACAACATACACTAACACACCACCACCACGTCAGTGTCACTGCAGTGCTGAGAATGATCCACCGCCCAAATAGTACCTGCTCTGTGAGGGTCCATGGGGGTCCTGACCACTGAAGAACAGGGTAAAAGGGGGCTAACAAAGTATCAGAGAAACAGATGGACTACAGTCTGTAACTGTAGAACTACAAAGTGCACCTATATAGTAAGTGGAGCTGATAAAATGGACAATGAGTGTAGAAACAAGGAGGTGGTCAGAATGTTATGCCTGATCGGGGTATGTGTAAAAATGCTACATCACTAAAAGAAAGGAACAGCCTCGTTGTGGTGGCAGTAACTGCTAAATGCCTCTTGAAGCCCTTTTTAACCCTATAGAACTCCTAACTCCTTAAACAGTAGGCTTTTTATCCCACTGTTATTCTTTAGGCTCATTATTCACTCACTGCTGTGAATAATCTGAAGCCACTATGAAACTAACATGCAGTTATATAGTAATATGTAAATATGAGTGTGGAATTGATGTTTGTGCCCACATACGGGCCCTTGTAGTTTAAGGGGTTCAGCCCAGCGTAGTTGTTGCTGTTCCCTCACTTCCCTTAACTTCCACACAGCACTCATAGAGAAATTCATAGAGAAATTAATTCTCGCGGCCCTGCTCCTGCCGTCTGGGTACAAAGTGCTGAGCCCACTGGATATGTCTGATAGCAGCCTCGTTGTTCCTCAGGAGCCTCTATCTGAGCCACATCACAGTTATCTCCCAGTAATTGCTGTCCGCACCAGATGAAAGAACAAACCAAACTCTCCTTCTGTCCCATTTTAGATCAGGTGATTATTGCCCTCCGAGGTTTGCGGAGGGAACAGCCGGAGTGGTGGAAGTGAGAGGAAACGACACTTTCCTTGCCGCAGTTAGAATGCACGCTCACAGCTCCAGGCCCGCAAACCGCCGACTGTCCAGTTCCCCTTCCTTCCCTCTTCTACCGCAGTTTCGCTGCATCTTAAACTGAGAACTTCCACTGTTTCACTCGCCACTTTTAGTATAGCTCACACTGGGAAATGAGCATGATGTAGCACACTGTTAATGCTGTTAATACCTGGATGATGTACAGGAACAGGAGGAGAAGAGCCACTAGAGCAGGGGTCTTTAATTAAAATTCAGTAAGGTCCAGTTAGAGAAAATTTCCTCAAGCGAAGGTCCGAAACATCATAATGTCTAACCTGCATCATGATTCAGTGCCATATACTGTTTACTGAAGTAGCCTAGTAGGTATATCAACATCTTATACAGTCGACAACTGAATATCAAATCAAATAAAGTACAGTTCAGTCATATTTCAACAACATTTACTGTCAGTTTTCTCTTTTTAGGGCACGACATGTGAAATAACTTCCCTCTGACTCACTTTCTTCTCCGACTGCTGTGTCTCGCCTCGTCCCTCCCCTGTGTGTGCCTCACTCACTTGAGTCTCAGCGCTCATCGTAATGCACAGATCTGATTGGCTGAGTAGCGTCACGTGTGATATTTACAACACATGTGATTGGTCTGTGAGTCTCCGGCTGCTAAACCGGCACCGTAATGACTAGAAATGATTCGCCGATTAAAACAGGACCACCCCGTCGACATTAAATCATTCTCCCTAGTTCATTGGTTATAGGTCCAGGTCCGCATAGGACAGCATCTGGGTCCGGACCCGGACCACTGTCCGACTATTAGTGACCTCTGCACTAGAGAAAGCTACAGTTTGAGGTATTTCAAGATAGCATAACATAGACATAAATCAGGAGCCAAACGTTTATTGTAAAGCAAACAAATGGCTGTGTAAAGGCTTTTCAGGTGAAATTTGATAATATGAGCTGTTGCACAGCACAGGAAATGGAGGGAGAAACCCTCTTAAGAACAAAATTAAAGAATATTTATATATGAGCGCGTAACATAGGTGAACATTGGAACGTAGAGTATGTAACATGTAACACAGACCAGCATAACACAACACAGAGCATAGAACAGCATGTAACATAGACCAGTGTGGACTGAGTAACACAAACACAGAGTATGTGACAATTTGGAACAGCAGCCAATATTAAATAAGCAGTGCGAAAGAAAAAAAAAATATTCTCTGTAGTTTAGTTTGTTCTCTGTAGAGGATGTTTTAGCTTATTTGCACTTCAGCAAACATGAACAAAACATGTCTTGGACCAGGGGCTGTTTTGTGCACATGGCTGTATGTTGTAAAGGGGCTCCACACTGGGTACTTTGCATCAGTCATTATCTGGTTATTACAGAATCTGAAATATATCAGATAATTTCTTATTTTGTATTCTTCAAATTGTGTTATTGCTCCAAACTACAACAATAAATATCCTATTTTGCATTAAAATTAAGGAACTTCATCAATTTATGGCATCACAATAAAATAGAAACATCTACAGTGCTGTGAAAAAGTATTTGCCCCTCACCTGAATTCTTCTATTTTTGCTAATTTGTCACATTTAAATGTCATCATACAAATCATTTTATTATAAGATATAAACAGCACAATTAAACATAAAATGCAGCTTTTAAATTATCAATTCATTTATTGAAGATAAAGATTTATTCAACACTTGTATCACAAAGTAATTGCCCACCTAAACCTACTAACTGGTTGTGCCACAATAGGCAGAAACAACTGCAATCAAACGTTTATGATAACTTGTGATGAGTCTAATTGTGGCCCCACTCTTCTTCTGCAGAATTGTTTTAATTCGGCTACATTGGAGAGTTTTCAAGCATGTACTGTCCATTTAAGGGCAATAATCTTAATGGGATTCAGGTCAGGACTTTGACTCGGCCACTCCAGAACCTTCATTTTGTTTCTTTTGAGCCATTCAGAGATGGACTTGCTTGTGTGCTTCGGATTGTTGTCCTGCTGCATAGGTCAACTGCACTTGAGCTTTAGGTCACAAATTGACGGGCGGACATTCTCCTTCAACATTTTTATGGTTCCATCAGTTATGACAAGTCATCCTACCACCACCATGTTTCACTGCTGGTATGATGCTCTTATGGTGGAATGCAGATGCACCAGATGTAACGGGACCCACGTCTTCCAAAAAGTTCGACCTTTGACTCATCAGTCCACAGAATATTGTCCCGAAAGTCTTGAGGGTCATCTGGACGTTTTTGGCAAATGCAAGATGAGCCTTTGTGTTCTTTTTGTCAGCAGTGGTTTGGGCCCTGCAACTCTCCTGTGGAGGCAAGTAAGGCTTGCAGTTCTTCAGATGTTTGTCTGGGTCCTTTTTTGTCCTCTTGGATGAATCGTTGATGCAGTCTTGGTGAAATTTTGGTAGGCTAGTTACTCCTGGGAAGGTTCACCACTGTTCTAAGTCTCCATTGGTGGATAGCGGCTCTCACTGTGGTTCAAGTGTGGTGAGTCCCAGAGCCTCAGCAGCGGCTTTGTAACCTTTATATACTGGAAGATTTCAGTGACTTTCTTTCACATCTGTATTTGAATCTCTTTATAAAGTGACATCACATGCTGTTTTTTGAGACCTTCTCTGCTTCACGTTGCCAGACAGATTCTATTTAAGTGATATTTAGATTTAACAGGTGTGGCTAATGAAATCGAGCCCAATAGTTAATTGAATTTGGTTAACTCATTAACTTAGTGGCTAAGCGTCCCTCTACCCTTTGTTTGGAAGGACCTCTTGCCCCAAAGATCTAATTTTACATTTTTGTTGCACTATGAAAGATTTGGGGATTTGTAGACCTCTGTTGTGGAAATGTGTAATTGCATCCAACATGCGGAAGAATATTTTGTAAGGTTGGGTGTGCGTCGGACCCCTTCCCCGAGTGGATGAATTGGATGAATGCAAGTGCGTTAAAAAAGTATTCAATTACTTCCAGTTCAAATAATGGAACTGGAACAATGGAATTAATGTCATTGTCCTATTTTATTCATTTATTTTCGCCAGCTGTTTGACTTTTTGCCTCTAGCAAACATTGAAATACTTGTGTTTTGCTGCATCCAGCTCATTTGCAAAGCTTAGAAAAGCTAAATAGTGTAAAACATCCTGTGTACCATGAAGATGTCTTCAAATATTGTGACCATGTATTCTTGTATTCACCTTTAAGTATAAGAACGTAGTGCATAGCGGCTAAATTGAGACAGAGGGTGTGAGTGGAGTGAGTAGGGTGCGCTGGGGTGGGGGATTAACTTGTACACCTGCAAGCGTTGCCCAAACAGTTGCAATTATTGTCGGCCCCAATACAAGGGGAGCAATTACCCGCCGGGGCATGGGGCCGCTGAGCCGCCTCTGTCGCGGGGAATGAGGATGCTGATTTAATCTCAGCGGACACTCTGTAGGCTCACGAAAAGCACATCAGGCCACTGCCCGGGCCAGGCTGCAAACAAGCGGAGAACAGGGGAGAGGAGGCAAAAAAAAGAAAGAAAGAAAGAACCACCTTAACCACCTCTCACGGCCTTCTCCTAATAGTCTGCCACTCCTAAAGACAAGAACCGAAACCACTAGTGACATTCTATTAGAGTAGGATATCCAAGCCTCCATTAGGGCAAATTGCTCTGTAATTCTTTTGTGTGTGTGTGTGTGTGTGTGTGTGTGTAGGTGGTGGCAGTGACTGTCCAGGGGGTACCGGAGGGTCTTGCTGCTCCTTCAGTGATTGCACTAGGGTCCACAGCCCTGCACATCAGCTGGGTGGCCCCAGCCAAGCCCAATGGCATCATCCGCGAGTACCACGTCAATCAGAGCGGAGTGGGGGTCATCCATACGCACAGAGAGGGGGAGATGGCCTACACAGTCACAGGTATCACACCGTCTATGTGTGTCTGAAGTTTACCTTTGCTCTGAAAATGTTTTGGGAACTGTGATAACAATGATGTAACCAGTGTTAGGAGGGTTCATTTAAAAACATATTCAGGGAAAAATCCGAAAGATTGCTGTCTTAGAGCATCTGTTCACTTTTTTACTCTTGGATTACTAGTCTTTTTAAAATCGTGTATTACAATAAAAACAATAGAGAAACAATATTAACAACAGACTGATAACTCAGTGGTGTTTTAGGTTCACTTTTGCATGGTTGTTGGCTTTCGCTCACTAAGTTTCTCTGACTTGAACCAAATGAAACAGTGAGGGATGCATAGTTTTGTTAGAGCTGTGTGGAAGGGATGAGGCACATAAGCCTCGTGACTGGTGAGGGTAATGCTTATGGAAGTTTCTCCCAAGACTAGCATTGCCCAGTTCACACCAAAAGGGGAGACCTAATGTAGTGAGTGAGCGCACTAGGGTCCACTATGCTAGGTCATACTATCCATCACTCTTGGGCCGAATCCCATTTCACCCCTCGCCCCTACCACTGAGGCCTTGGCCCTCTGTTTTGTGCGTTCATGTCTAGGGGTAGCGTGTCCCAATTCTTGTTGAGATAGAGGGGGAGGGTGAAGTGTTGGGGCTACATGACCCTCTAAATGGAGGTTTTTCAGAGACTCCAAACAGAGAGTTATGAGAAAAAAGAAAAAACGGCGAGACAGAGAACAAGAGATCAAAGAAACCCAGAAATGTGAGAATTTTCTCCGTTAAAAAATTACGATAATCAATGTGTCTTAGTTTAATGTCATTTCAGTGTATCATGGTCATTTTCTTCATAACAAGCATAAAAAATCACTAATAGTATGCTAATGTCTCGGTAGCAAGCTAGCTAACTTTCCCATTCCACCTTAAATAGTCCAGCCTGAAGCGCCAGAATGTAACTGCTGCACTATTTAAGGTGGAACGGGAAAATTCTAACAAGAAGCTGGAGAATATCTGACTTCAGCTTCATATCACTGAAGAATTAGGGGTGGGTGATAATAAATAATTGCCCCCTCTTTGAAGATCATATGATCCCTAAATGTAACTAAAGCCCAGCAGTGAGGAGCTGAACTTGCTGTCACTGCAGACTGGCAGGGTCGCCTACAGAGCAGTGCTGGTAGCTGTTAATGAAGTAATGCTTTTTTTTTTTTGAGAGTTGTTCCATTTCATAGGGCAAGATTTCAACCACTACCCCTTGTAAGTCAGTTCCAAGGAGGTAGGGTGACCCTTGAAAACAAGGGGTAGGGGTAAAAAGAAGAAATGGGACTGGGCCTTGGATTACTTGTTTTAAAGTCATACATTAAAATAAAAACAAGAGTAAAGCAAAGTCAACAAGATGACTTAACCTTAACCTGCTTAAGTCTTTTGTTTTAAAATCTATTGAACACACATACATGTTTCTCAGTATGAATGCAGTTCAGGTTATTTAATACCTTTAAGTCTTTCAGTGGAGGGACCTTCCACAGCACAAGTTGGAGTATTGACTGACTTGAAGTGAATCATTTGTTAATTCCACAGAAATTATAGTTCTTTAGGAAGCTGCAAAGCAAAATGACTCTCAGTGGATCAGGAGGCGTGGTCATGCCATGCAGCTGTATTGAGCTCTGGGAGATGTAGGAATCAAACTTTATAGGTTTTCGAATGAAAAGGCTTGATATCTTTTGACGTAAACCACAACATGTCAGGGTTTTTGTTCTGAATGTTTATTTTGGGGTATAAAATTGATCTAGGCTGTTTGACAAGCCAAGTTCTTCGGTTCCTCTCCCTGTGCTGCTGCTGCTGTCATTCGAAGTTTCTGCAGTAAGACTGGCGATTTCTTCTTTAATGGTGCAATGAAACAATAGAAGCCCTCTATGATTCCTGTGGTGTATTGCTACAGTGTACACAGTGTTGACAGTAAACAATGCATCAGAAATAAAAATCCACAACATTTTTCCACGATCATGATTATTTGATTTTATCAACTTATACAGTACTGTTCAAAGGTTTGGAATCACTTGTTATATTAATAATTTTGTCATCTTATGCAAAATAACATAACCAGTGTAGATTTAATTCTCAGAAACTAGATACTAGTGTTTTTGGATATTCAATATTTCATGGATTTTGAGTTACTTTGTGCTGTATTTTTTATACTGTAGTGACCTGCTCACAGTCATTTATCTTATGTCTAGTTATCTCAGGAATTAACCAACACCTTTTTTAAATATGGGGCATTCTGGATGTTCATTTTATTATCATCAGTCATTCTTGATACAGATTTTTCAGTCATTTAGAATAATATACAGCTCTTTTCATCATTCTGGACACTTGTAAAAGAGATTGCAATCTCAATATGACTACCCTGGTTTAGAAAAAGGTTAAATAAAAATAAACAAATAACATAAATCTAGCTTTTCTTTATTCTTTACAGCTTCCTACTAGTTCTGTCGAAGCTATGGAATTGGACAGAACTAGAATACTGAATACTGATCTTTTTATATATGTTTCTAAAACAATTGTTTTTTTTTATTGTTGACAACATTGATTCCAGACTTTTAAATGGTAGTGTAGTTACAGCCCTGTTAATAAAAGTTATGAACGGGGTAAAAAGCACATTGAGTTGTACGAATGTTGGTCCAGACATTGCCAGCTTCATTCATTATTAGGCTACTGTTCTGTGCGAAGGTTTGAGCACCCCCCTGTGTTTTGTTTGTTTCCTAAATGAACACATTCTCTTCTGAGAACACACTTCAGCACAATGTAGTGCACATTTACTGCTTATTTGCTGAGTTTAACATATTGAAAAAAGAAATATGGCCTCTGCAAGAGTTATGGCACAATTTATATGTTGTTTATGTTTTTTACTAATATGTTAAACTTAGCAACTAAATCAAAATTGTGCATTAAAATGCCATATTTAGGTTTGTCCCCAGTGGAGGATGTGCTGCCTTATTTTCACTTAGAAAATCAGCAAAACATGTAATTTGACTGGGGGTGTGTAAACTTTTGCGTATGACTGTGTGTCCCCTAATTTGTAGTTCAAGTTGGTCACAAAGTCAATTAATCTTTAAATTAAGAATTCTTAGCCAGAATTAAAGAAGCATATTTATCATGTATAGATTGTATTTCCGTTATGGCGACAGTGATGGTCTCCCCTGCCAAGCTGGTCTGCCCTGACGTCATTCACTCCAGGCTGTTTCATTAGTTACTACAGTAATAGCTTCTCAGTGTGACGTCAGCTCATTTAACAACGTACTTTATCTCAGACCTTATTTATTAGGGTGATATTAGCAAACTTTAGCCAGTGAAACAGCATCTGTGAGCACCAGTGAGTCAGAATCAAGCCTGTACTGTGGTGTGTGGCTCTGTTTGGGTCAGTAGCCTGTTACAGATCCACCATGGGGCAGGTTTAATTTCACCTTTCTGTCCCTTCACCAGTTGCTCGACTTTATTTGGGGACTTTAGATTTGAATCATCATCTAAACCTGTGTTGTTGCTTCAGTTAGAATCAGATATGTTCTGTGGTGAGCAAAATATCATCATGCTATCTAAGATAATGACAACCAGCTTCTCTCTCCTAGTCAGAAACAATGTTTAACATTTAGCCAATGTTAGATTGGCGGCTTGGCGTTTATGAATGATGCTTTGAAAATCATGGACTGCGTTCGCTTATTAGGTGACTATATAACCAAAATTAACTTTATAATTATTTCCAGTTTTGAAAGTGTGCAGGACAGAATACCACAAAATCAACATCCAAAATCAGTTCTAAAAAAGTTGGGACTGTATCTGAAATGCAGATACAAGAGAAAGCAATGATTTGTAAATCCACTTTGACCTGTATTCAAATAAAAGCCTTGTAATGTTTTACCTTATCAATTTCATTGTTTTCGCAAATATATGCTCATTCTGAAATTGATGCCTGCAACACAAAGTTGGGACAGGGACAGTTTAGGACAGTCTGGTGAATCAACTTTTGACACTATTTATGAAAATAATGGACGTAGTGTTATTGCAGGCCAAAGAAGCGAAGGAAATTGTTGCCAGTGTAAAGTTTAAAATCAGGGTCTGTCATTGTAAGGAAGTGTATCAGTGGGTAACGTGCGAATCTGTGAAAACACCATCGATACTGAAAGCAATATACACATTTTAAAACGTGCTGCCTTTTAGGTGACGTCTTTTTCAGGGATGTCTGTACATATTTCAACATGACAATAACAAGCCTCGTTATGCGTGTTACAACAACGCGGCTGCCTAATCAGAGCGTGCAGGTGCTAGAATAGCCTGCCTGTGTTCCAGACCTGCGTCCTATTGGAACTGCTTTCTGTTTTTATTGTTCACAGCTTTCTGTTTTTATTGGCATATTACATACTGTCCCAACTTTTTTTTGGAATTGGGTTTGTAAATACTTTAACGTCACTTACAGTGCTTTTCTGTCCAGGTTTGTTAAAGAAATAAAAGAATACAAAAAAAAAAATTTGGTGGTCTGTATGTGAAATATCGAGGCCTTGGTGGCATCAGGCGGTAGCCAATATCTACCCTGGTTAGTACTAATAAGTAAAATGAAATGTAAACCTAGACAAAATGTCTTTATTCTGCATGCAGATGCCAGTAAGCTGGTTCAAACATGATGTGATCTGTTCCTGAAAACCACAGAGAGGGCGAGAGTGAGAGAGAGTGTAAGAGTGAGTGATGAATCTGTCTGGCAGCAGAGAGCGGCCACTCCCCGGCCTTCACACCACCACCACCACCAGCAACAGCAGCAGTAACAGAGAGCGGCTACAGCGTCCCCTCCGCACCTCCACCCTTTATTTATGCATGCTGTTTTCTGGAAGCAGTCTAATGACTGAATTTACACCTGATTCCCGCAATGAGCGGGCTGCCCTGCCCATCACCCGCCAGGGCCCCCATGATTTGTGATGCTTCTTTTTATCTGCCTGCGAGCGGGGCTGCGTTCCTGGCCTCGAGCCATCCGTC